CAATAAAAAATAGTAAATACCATTTAATATTAAATAAAGTGAATAAAAATCTGACAATGCTTAGTCTTTACCGTCAAGCATATAAAATTCAAATAATGATAATCAAAATTCAACGTAAGTAGATATTACTATTTATAAAAGATTTAAATTACTATTTAAAAAAATAATATAGTTTAAATTTTTTGGTGACAGCCTATTTCGACGATCATTTGTTAGCAATCCAGCTTTCGAAAATACTCGCTCGGAAGGAACTGAAGTCGCCGGTATACAAAGATATTTTTGTTGAAGTTTGTATAATTCGGGCAATATCATCTTGTGCTGTTTCCAAAAATCTAAACTATTTTTTTCTCGAGGCAAATGGGGTAACTCTAAGTACTGACGCATCATTAATGTTGCAGAAACATTTGGACATATGACACTTCTAACTTCTGTCACTTTTTGATCAAAATGATCCCATAAAGAATAAGAGGACCCTGTTGAAGTTGACGAAGGTCGTGTTTCGTTTATGTTCTCAATGTTATTATCATTTGCGCCATTATTAATAGAAATAATTGATGTAAGCTCGTCGATTAACCATTGCTGAGCATTATTGGCATTATCTTCCAATCCAAATGCAGTTTTTTTTAATTTAGGATCTAATAAAGTTGATTTTGAAACAATTTTATTTTTTTCTAAAGATCCTAAACGCCTCGAAACAACATCTAATAAACTACTTTGTAGTAAACTACCGGCATCAGTTTCTGGTCTTAGTTTTCTTACCGTATATTGAAGGCCTCTCACTAGTGGTATTACCAAAGATAAAGTTGGGTATTTTTCTCCAGATAATTCTATCGTCAAACTTTCGAAAGGTTTTAAAATTGGGGCACAATCTGTTATTATATCCCATTCGTTTGAAGTTAAGCAATTTGGAGCTCGTCGAAGCGATGACATTGCTGCAGATAAAGGATTTTTAATTTGGATGAGCCTTTCTATCATAATTAAACTTGAGTTCCACCGAGTGCTAACGTCTTGTTTCACTTTCAACTCGGGGAGACCCATTTGTTTCTGAAATTCTTTTAATTTTTCTGATGCAAAATTACTATGTTTAAAATGACCCACTATAGCTCGACATATTTTTAGCACCCTGAGAAACTCTGTATTTTGATTAATAGATTCATTCACACTTAAATTTAAAGTATGTGCTACACAAGGGTGGTGATATTTTAGGAGGTGATCATTTATAGCATGTTTTATATTTGCACCATTGTCCGAAACTATAGTTACAATTTTATTTGAAATATTCCACTCATTAAATATGTTAGAAAGTGCCGAAGCAATGTTTTCCCCGGTATGACTTTCTTTAACTTCTTCAGTCGCAAGAACTGGCGAATACAAACAATCATTAAATATAAAATGGCAAGTTACAGTTATGTACGACCTAGTGGAATCTGATGTCCACATATCCGTAGTGATTGATACATCGTTAACGTTTTCCAACATATATTTTAGTTTTAAATAAATTGCATTATATTGATCAGGCAACAGTTTGGTAGTCAATAATTTTCTACTCGGAGGTGTGTATAATGGTTGTAATTTTTTTGTAAATTCTAAAAAGCCAACATTTTCAACTATTGACAAGGGTTGATAATCGGCGGTAATCATTTTAACTAGACATTTGTCAATTTCATTATTTTCTGCTACAGTTAGTTCATTATTTTTTGTTGTGCCGTATAATTTAAGTTGACGCGAGCGTTTAGTTAAAGGTTGATTTAAAGTTGAAGATTCAGTTTGTGAATTAGAATTTGTCGAAGAAGATTGAAAACTCGATAAGTTATTAATAGACTCAATAGAATGCAATTCGGAATCTGGATCGTCTGCTGTAGAAGCAGGAATAATAAGTGCAGTAGGATGCTTCCGTTTTAAGTGCTCTTTTTAAAAACAAACAAGATATATAACAATTATAATAATTATATACAATTATACCTATATAATATTACTACTATTCAATATAAAAATAAATTAATAATTATTTTATATTTAGATACCTACCTTTCAAGTTAGTTGTATTTCCATAGAATTTTAAATCTTTTTTACAAATTTGACAACTAACTGTAGTTTTATCAACGTTTTTTTTAAAATGCTCCCACACCGTGGAACGCTGCTTACTACCTGGTCGCATTTTAAACTTTTAAAAAAAACTGCAGAGTTGTTTCTTTAATATATTATATTATAATTATTTGAGGAACTGATATTATTAAATTTTTATAACTTAAGAGGTCACTAGGAGTCTAAATACGCTGACGATTTAAACATAAAATAGAACGATTAGGTACCGATAACAAATGTAGAATACTACGATACAACTGATACAACATTGAACATATAAATTAAATTAAAATATAGTATATTATACCAAAATAATTCATATATGTGATCAAAATTATTATTTATAACAGATATAAATAATAATAGAAACCATTTCCTTTACAATTCCAGATAGTACAGATTAATAATAAAGTATAGTTATACTACGCCGCGCGCGGCGCGGCCGCCAGGGTATTTTTAAATATGTATTATAGTTATTATTATATTGTAATATAAGTGAATAGTAGATTAGTAGATAAGAATGATTACTGCCTACTGGTTCAGTGTTCGAAATTCGAATACCTAAACCAACTACTATAAAGTAAGTATAAACTAGTTATTATACAAATAGTAATTACTAATAACTACTAATTTTTCATTCGATTACTTTTGACCGAGCAATTCGATTATTTTTCTATTTCTAATAATCGAGTAATTGAATAAATCGATTATTTTTCAAATAATCGAGTAATCGATTATTTTCTAATAATCGAGTACTCGATTATTTTCTCTCGATTGTTCCCA